AAGAAAGAAAGAAAGAAAGAAAGAAAGAAAGAAGAGGAAAAGAAAAAAAGGTAGTTGTTTCAACTTTAAAAATATCTAACCTTTAAACTTTTTTTTTCTTTTTCACGTTTGACTTAAAAGATAGAAACCTTATCTGGCTGTGTTACCTTTTTAAATTTTTCTGAAGGTTTTTGTTTTTGTTTTTGGTTTGTTTTTTTTTTTTTTTTAGGATAAAAGAGTCTCTTTGGTGGCTTAAAGCATATTTCTGAATTCAGGAGGCCTCAATTACTAGGGCAATATGTGGATTGGCATCTAAAAGGGGGCATGCTTGCCTGTGTGAAAGCCGGTGGTGTTAGCCTGTGGAAGCCTGCAGGCTGAACTGCCTATCAGTCCCTGTCTTCTGTTAATCAAAAGAGTGTTACCTAGGACAGCCAAAGAGGGCTTCCCAAGAAGGAGGCAACTTCTAGACACTTGAGTCCTTTGTACACCGGTTCAGAACCCTTCCATCAGATTTTCTATTGGACTATTTTGCCAATGACCACTTTGAACCTTTAAAAATAAATCAAAATCCCAGAATATCATTTTTTTTCATATCTGTATCTCTAAGCTTGAAAAGTGTTCACTAAGGATTGTCATTAGGTAAACAGGAAACCTGTCTCAAGACAGAAGTGATCCATCAGTTTGCTGTTAAGTTTAAACTCTGCAATTCTCTCTTCAGGACTGGGTCTCAGAAACAGCCCCCCATCTCTCAGGGCTCCAGGGTCAGCAGAAAAGGCTGTCCTGGGACAAGCTGGATCATCTGGTGGATGAGGAACCACAGCTACTTTGTCAAGAGAGCCAGAGACTCCAGACTGTGCTTCAGAACACCAAGGCAGACCTCACACACTCCCGTGAGAAGGTAGCTCAAAAGCCGCACCTTGGTGAAAGTGACCGATGAGATGTGAAAACGAACTGTTTGATGTGTAGTTCTTAGCTGTAGATTTGAGTATCCTGTTCTGGCAGACCTATTTTAAGAATGAATAATTTTTCCTTTACTTATATATAAATTTATCTTTATACATTTAAACTATTTTCATTTTATATAGGCAGTTCTGTATTAAAATAAATCTGTGATGTTAGCTTTCTTATCAAAAGTACAGACTCGTGGAAATTATGACATCCACATATTCCTCATTCAAACTGGTTAGCTGCCCAGACCAATAATAACAAAATGGCAAAATCAGACTCAGATCTTATGAGTCTGGCTAACTCTTTATAAGAGAAAACTTGGTGCCCCTTCCTAGAAATTCAGCATTTCAAGGTCAGAACTTTTTTTTTTAAGTTTTGGTAACCGCCCAGCTGACACTTGATTACCTGTGCTGTTGCCAACCAGTTAACCCTGGTCAGCACCTCTGCTGTGAAATGCCCTCAAGAATCATGACTTTTCCTTTAGAATACCTACTATGTGCGGGAATCCTGCTGTTCCCGAATCTACAGTGGGAATAGTTCCCATCCTGCTGGAACGTAGCAGATGTAATGCATGGGTCCAGCAGCAGACTCAAACAGAGTCAACGGGACTTGCACCTCAGCCACCTCTCAGAGTTCTGCCCATGGCAGAGCTAACGAACCCAGGACTGCCACCCCATTTTGCTCGGCAGTTCCGTCACACTCACTCTTGGCTCCTGGGAGCGTGGCTGGCCCAGAGGTCTCCTCTCATCTGTCTTGCCCTGACCATGTTGACTTTGTAAGCTCAACCAGATTTATCTAAAACGGATGTTTAGAAATAATTTTAAAAGGAAGAAAAGAAGGAAGGAAGGAAGGAAGAGTAGGCTTCAAGAATTAAAGAGCCCCGTCTTGTTGTATTGCCCAGGCTGATTTGAACATTTGAGCTCAAGAAATCCCCTACCTCTCTCTGGTAACTGGGACCACAGCCCTCTCTGCCACCTTGCTCAGCAAAAAACGTGTTTTGAATTCCATGGAACCCAAGTAGTAAACAAAAGCATGCCTCCTCTGCCGTTTGTGTTCCTGGCTGGGTAATGGTATAAGCATTTCTTCCTCTTACTAGGTCCGTCAACTGGAATCCAACCTTCTTCCCATCAAACATCAGAAACAACTCCACCAGTCATGTGCTGTGAAACCCATAGAACAAGAAAAATTGGCTTTAAAGAGAGAGTGTGAACAGTCTCAGAAAGAACAATCTCCTACTAGTAGGAAGGTGGGTTTTTCAAGTGTAACCACGCACCTGTGCTCTGACAAGTGTGTCCCTACTGTCTGCTTCTCACCATAGGTGGCGGGCTTTGAGCCCTCCTCAGATCCTCTGATGCCTTCATAATCCTGTCAAAACAGTATCATTGTTCTTTTTTTATTGAGTAAAGATTATTTATTGATTTATTTATTTTGTTTTTTTCGAGACAGGGTTTCTCTGTGTACCTTTGGAGCCTGTCCTTGGACTTGCTCTGTAGACCAGGCTGGCCTCCAACTCACAGAGATCCATCTGCTTCTGCGTCCCAAGTGCTGAGGTTAAAGGCATGCACCACCACCGCCTGGCAGATTTTTTTTTAAAAAAGGAACAATTTAAGCTTTCAGGAGGAAGACAGTTCACACACACACACACACACACACACACACACACACACATCACCTTAAAACAATTCATTTAAAATTGTGTGTCCATGTGTGTGTGTGTGCACATGAGTGTAGAGGCCAAAAGAGGGTGCCAGATCCCCCAGAGCTGGAGGTATGGGCAGTTATAAGCTACCCAATGTGGTTTGTAGGAACCAAACTCAGGTCATCTAGAAGAGCAGCATGTGCTTCTAACCACTTAGCAATCTCTCTGGCCCCTAAAAACTAGGTTTTAAAAGCAGATACAAAGAAATGAACAGAAAGAAAAAAGCAAAAGGAAAGAAAAAGAAAGGAAGGAAGGACTTTTGAAGGTTTTGTTAAGAAGAAGGAGTGACAGAAGTGGACGGCACGGAACGGCACAGCATGGCTGTCTACTAATAAGACGAGAAAGCAGAGTAAGCTGTTGTGGAATATTTGTTTACACTGTGTGAAGATGTGTCACTGCAATTGGTTTAATAAAGAGCTGAAGGGCCAATAGGTAGGCAGGAGAGGATAGACAGGACTTCTAGGCAGAGAGAGAAACTCACGATGAATCTAGGCACACAGGAGATGCCTGCGAGACACTGAAGAAGTCAGACATACAGTACAGAGGAGAGGTAACCGAGCTACGTGGCAGAATGTAGATTAATAGTTATAATTAGTTTAATTATAATTATTATACGTTAATTTAAGTTATAAGAGCTGGTAAGCTAAGGCCAAGCTTTCGTAATTAATAATAAGTCTCCGTGTCATTATTTGTGACCTGGCAGCCCAAAAGAAAGTCTGACGACTTTTGGTGCTAAGTGTGAGGCTGTTTGACATCCCTTGTGGAAGAATTTTTCACTGACAACCTTTTAATAGGCTAGGAATTATTTTAAGTAGGCACCATGAAGGCAAATATTTCTCTATCCTGTTTTTGTAAAGATACAGTAAAAAAGCAATCTTTTAAATCAATCACTATCATAGGCCATCCCTTAGGTAATAAAGACAGCAAGGGAATTACGAGCTGTAAGGAGCCCATCAGCTAAGTCACCTTATTTATGGCTCTTAAACCTGTTAACATTCTCCATTTTCCAGGTTTCTTTCTAATGGCAAATATAGGAGAATCCCAAGGACTGGTCGATTCTTCAATATGTTGAGCATGTAGCTGCTCTTGTATCAGCTGTTCTAGTGCCTGTAATGTCAAAGGTCATTGTTCCACCCCCAAAGGTTTGTCAGTTACCCATTTCAAAGATAGGATTGTTGATACCTTTGAAAGATCAGCAGCTGTTGTGCCCTGCTTATGTACAACCTGAACGGACTGTGGCCATTCTTGATAATACCTTGTAATATTTTTCTCAGAAGTATGCTCTATTTTTTTTTTTTTTTGGTTTGTTTCTGAGATTGGAGGAATGTTAATTTGTGTTTTCCATTGCTGCAACAAATCACGTCCCCATAAATTCATTGCTATGTTGAACACTTACAGCTTTAATATTCCTATCTGGCCTTCTGGTCCCATACACTAGACCCATCTTGGACTTTGTTTTACCTGAAATAAAGTTCCAATTCCTAGAAGTTGAATATTTACCTCCTGTAGAGGCCAGTCTGGATGCCAAGATTTTTGGTGAAATTATTGTTAACATCTGCCCCTTTGTCTACTAGACCTGCAATTTCAATGCCATTTATTTGTATTTTTAGCTGCGGTCTTTGATCATTTATAGAAGTTTGCCAAAATATTTGTTTTATGGTCTTTCCTGAAAAATTTTATTTTATCTGTGGAAGCTGTTCTGGCATCTAGAGCAGTATTGTTTTTTAACAACAGGCATTAATTCTTTTAATCGCTCTGTGTAAGAGTTTCTTCAATGCTGACAGGGAATGACTGGACCAGATTTGATATTGGGGCCAGCAGGGGGACTCCTAAGGCATTTCCCGATGACAAAGGGTTACCTTGCCTGTCCCTTGTTGATCTGCATTCATTGGTCCAATGCCAGCCTTTGCCACACTTGCTGCATACTCCAGAAGGCTGGGGCCTCTGTTTGGATTGTCTCTAGAAAAAACATTGTTTCTAGGAATGCCTTGCCTACAGTCCCTTTTCAGATGACCTTGCTTACCCCAATTAAAACTTCTGACATTTTGATTTTCCTTAAAATTTTTAGAAATCACTTCTCCTATCCAAGTAGCATCATAAGCGTGAGATCCAATATCTGCTGTATTTCTAATTCATTCATCTATGGGTGCTCATCTTGCCTTTAAGGGCCTAATCATCTTTTTCCATCCTGAATTGTTGGACTTTTCTTCTGGGCTGCCAACTCACAAATGACAACATAGAGACTTATTATTAATTATGAAAGCTTGGCCTTAGCTTAAGCTTGTTCCCAACTAGCTCTTGTGACTTAAATTAACCTGCCTCTATTAATCTATGCTCTGCCACGTGGCTCGGTTACCTGTGCTCTGACTGTATGTCTGACTTCTTCAGAGTCTCACTGATGTCTCCTGTGCACCTAGATTCATCCCCGAGTTTCTCTGTCTGCCCAGAAGTCCCAGCTCGTCTCTCCTGCCTGGCTATTGGCCATTCAGCTCTTTATTAAACTGATCGCAGTGACACATCATAAACGAATATTCTGCAGCAGTGAGCCATGGGGAGTGCTAATGTGATTTTGCAAAGCTTCTCTGAGGGAATTAAGAAACTGGAAAATGCCTTGCCTCCCAATTAGCATTTGATAAGTATTTAGAAACAAAGGTGCATCTAAACTAGAAAGAATTTACTTAGAAAGCCACAAGGAATAGCTTTTTATTTTTATTTTCCACTCTCAATTATGAAATTAAATGGGTAAAAGCCAAGGTGAAGTTTCTGAAAAATGATTATTTTTAAAGCGTTAAAGAGAAACAAATGTTAGTAGTCATGGATATTGTAAGACGGTGTGTGTAGAAAGCTGGGGTCATGCTAACTCAAGGGGAGTGGGAGGAGCTGTATTTTCTTAGTAGTTGTTCCAGCTAAGTATGTACTTAGAACTGACCGCACACATGCATTTGTGGGCACAGCTACTGTGTTGTAGGTCATGTGTATTTCTTGCAATGGGTGTCAGGGATGTTAAAGCCACCTGCCCTAGAACAATCTGGTCTGTGTGAGACGTGGTGGTTAAGTCCAGATTGCTTAAATTCCAGCTCTGCACTCAGTTATTGTTGGTTGGTGTTCCTTACTGAACTACCTTGGCTTTCTTCCGAGATTAGAGATCTCCTCACACAAATTTATCAAAATAAAAGGTGGCAACTCAAATGTTTTTGTCTTTTTAAAAAGTGTTTTTTTTGTGTGTGTGTTTGTTTAGCAGGTCAGTCAGATGAGCTCCCTTGAGCGAGAATTCGAAACGATTCATTTGGATAACGAAGGTCTAAAGAAGAAACAGGTGAGACCGGACGAGAAGCTAATGGAGGTAAGTTTGAGTCGGTGACCTTGACTGTGGAGAATACCAACAGCCATGTATTAGGCGGGACTAGACATGGCACTGAATTCCTCTCATGAAAGTCTAGTTGCCAGGCTTAATTCTTGGGTCTGTCTTCCCAAAATGAACAGACGTTAGAGTCATAGGTGTCTGCACTGCTTTGCAGAATAAAGAATAACTTTAGCTCCAAATGTAAAGACCCGTGTACATCAATAAATGCGGATCACGGGGCCTGATACTGAGGGGCCCAAGCTCTCGTGTCGTTGTATATGTGACAGTTTCCTGACATACCCTATCTTGCAGTGTTTTTATGATATAGTCACTCTCTGTCCACCTGTTCAGACATATGTGGAGGTCTGAGAACATCTGAATTTAGGTTCCTTTTCAGCAACTGGCATCTTAGCAGATGTAGCTCAGTGGTGGAGCACCTCCCTTGCATGTGTGAAGCATTGGGTTGGATTTCCAATGATCAAAAAGCAAACAGTGTCCAAGGCTTATGGCTACACTTGTGGCTCGGCTCTGCCTTGTGAAAGGTAGAGCTGACAGATGTTCAGCTGATTTGGAAAACTCACCACTGGTGTGTGTGTTGGGCCCTGGAACCACAGCGTGCATTCATGTACTATGGCAGGACATGAGCAAATGTACAGCCCTCGGTAACCGAAGACTTCAGTGAGATGCTTTGCTGTAGGTAGATGAAAAATTAGTCTAATATTAAATGAACTATAAAATCTGTAGAAGGAAGCGTTCATAGAATTTATCTTGCTATGCTCTTAAAATAATGTATACACACATTTTTTATTTTTCCAGACAGAATTTTAGGAAAGAAGGGAGATACTGAAGTATTTTCTATTTATTTATTTGTTATTTTGGTTTTTTAAGACAGGGCTTCTCTGTGTAGCCCTGGCTGTCCTGGAAATCGCTCTGTAGACCAGGCTACCCTCAAACTCAGAGATCTGCCTGCCTCTGCCTCCCATGTACTCAGATTAAAGGTGTGCGCCACCAGGCCTGGCAAAGTATTTTCTTTATAAAGTTAGATATATGGCAAGGTGGCTTTAATGCTTAGCTTTAAAATAATGTGAAATCTGGGCAAACATATCACATTGGCATTTAAATGACCACTGAGATTTCTGAGAATTTTATGTTCTTTAGTTTATCCACTGATGGGAGATTGGTGAATCTATAAGTAGTGAAATCTAAACTGGTTCCTGACAGTATATAATACATGTATTCAAAACTGAGAGTTCAGCCTGTGTTTTGATAATGCTTTTCTGATGAAATAACTATAGACTCTGTTGAATATCTGAAGCTGAGCTCTGTGTGTCTGGTAAGACACTGAAGGGTGCCAGGGTGTGTGTACTTACTTCTGGGCTCTGTCCAAATGTTCTACAGTAAGCTGGTTCTTCACCTCTTTGCCCTAGCCTGGGAAGCCCCTTCTTCCAGGCGGGCCCCAGTTTCTATTATTAACTGTCATC